ATAAATCAGTCGCCTGAGCCGGCTCCACTCAAGAGGAGATCACCAGTAGCTTGAGCTGTCGCCACTCAAGAGAGGAGATCGCCTGAGAGTTTGTCAGAGCCGTCTCCACTCGCCTGAGTAATCGCCTAAGAGAACCGCTGCTTGAAGGATTGATTGGAATTAAATTAGATTAGGGCAAAATTGCCCTAAAAAAGAGGAATTTTTTTCAATATTGTCTCCTTTATGTAGATCTTCGCTTGTTACGATTTAAAAGGACGACAAAGAGAACCGCCAACTCCTCCATATGTTAACACTGCTCCACTAGAAACCACCTCCTCTCTCTCTCTTTCTCCGAGGTTATAGGAAAGAGAAATGCTATAGTAAACTTATTTAGGGCTTTAATAATATGGCTTTAATGCAACCATTGGATTAGTTGTAAATTTCAATGTTAGATGGAACTCACAATTGGACATCACTAGGTCCTAAATAAGATCTCAAAATAAGGTCCAAATAGCATTTTCCTTTAGCAAATTGAGTATTTGTTTAATCAAACTGCTAGTTCACATCAAACCACCAGTTCATCGGTTTTCATAAAAATCGACTGATTTAACAATTCGAAAACGATTCTCATGCCTATGTTGTCCAACTCAAGAACCAGACCAGTCTAGGCTACAGTTCACGGTCAGACTGGTCCGGTTTTGTTAACTCTGCTAAATACTAAGGAGGAACCTTTAACCTTTCTTAGAGATTTTTAATACCTACACTATTGATATTTGATCTTCTAACATTCAGACTTTGAATCTTGCCATGAAGTTTTCTCTTGCTTTTCTCTTTAGATGAGAAACCCCTTTCAAGATCATCACCAAATGAATTATCAAGATCTTCTTTCAACTCTTCAGCCTTAGCATTTTCCTCCACATAGGAAGTTTCATTTCCTCTATTTTTTTTCAAGTTCGCAACTACTCCCAAACTCTAGAGGAAGGCTCGAGCAAAGAATGGTAAAAGGATTTGAGGATGATTTTTCTCCGCTAATGTTTCTAGTTCTTTCTACTGGAGACACCTCCATCTTATCTTTTCTTTTGTTTTTTAGGAGCATCACGTCATTTATCTCTAATCTCGACGTTCGTTTTTCTCCAAATTTGAGGATGATTTTGTTTAGGAGCTAATGGGCAACCAACATTGGACTAACCAAATAATTTGCATGTTGAACATTTTTTAGGCATCTAAGCGATTTCAACTAAGATTTCATGTGTAATCTCACCCATCTTAATTTTGAAGGACTTTGGAATATCCTTAGAAGTATCAATCTCAAGACACATCCTTGTAAAAGTAATCAAGCTTCTAGAAAGAGTGGGGAAATCTAGGTGCAAAGGTTTTCTAATAATGTTGCCTAAGTAGCCAAAATCTTCTTTAGTCCATAAGTGGAGGGTAACATTAAAAAGTTAGACCCATATTAGAATGTTAGAAAATTCAACTTTCGTTAGCTTAATATCTGGATGCCATTGCTTAATATCTTAGCTAGAAAATTCAATTTTCGTTAGCTTAATATCTAAATGTCCTTGCTTCAAAACCATGAATTTACCCCAACATAAATAAGGACTACCATCAAGAATTCTATTCCTAGCTTCCACATGTTTAATCTAAAAGATATAAAATTTATTGTCCAAAGTTAACACTTCAAGAAGATTATCTTTCCAAGACAAAATGCAGGAAAACATTGCACCTATGGACCTTATTCTTAGGAGTATGTTAATAGTCGTCATTCCAATTATATCAAATGACCTTTTTTTTAATCGCGAGATAATTTCAGTTTGCAAGCAATTTCAATTTACTGCTATTTATATTAAAATATTTAAAAAGATGCGTGATCAGAGTCGACGATTAGAATTGAGTCAAAACAAGTCCAGAGGAATAAGACGGTTATGAGAAAAAATCTTCAAAGATCTCAAAAAGTGAAGAGGCATGTTAGACGTCACGTCATGGAGCCGTTGGTTACGGACAATTTTAACACATGTTCATAGTCGTTGGAGTAAGAGGCCATGAACACCTTCTTAACGACGAGAAAAGATAATCCCAACAATTAGAAGTCAGAGCCTATAAATACAGAGGACTTGGCAACAGAAAAAAAAAAAAATCCATGATTTACATTCCTACAAGCAACATACCAGAGCCCTTCTCCATGTGATTTAGTTTATACTTTTTATTTTATTTTATAATTTCGTCATTACTCCTGTGACTTTTTTAAGTTTTAATTCAAGTACAATAGTTTATACAACAATTCTGCCTTACTTAAATTATTGTTTGCTCCGATTCCATTTAGTTCTTGATCTCCAAGCCAAAAAAAAAATCTAGACGTAATCTTACATTTTGTTTTAATTGCCTGAACACTCACGATTTTAAAATCTCATGCTGGTTCAAATAGGTAAAATCCTAATAATTTTAAGTTATTAAGTTCATTCGTGCTTTGACAAACCCACAATCCTAAATAAGCTAATACTTTGACACACCCACAATAGTGACACCATATAAATTAATAATCATGATTATGTAAGATTTGGAGAATCCTAATGTCTTTAAGCTTGAGGTAGAAAAAGCCATATGTTTCAGTTTTCAGACAGAAACAGAGAATGGAGAGGATGCTAATGCCAGAGAATAATACAACCATATCCTGACCTCTTACCTACCCTTTTGAAAGCCAATCCTGCACATTTGCTTTCATTTACTCGACGGACATTTTTTTTTTGCAGGTTGAAAAAACGGTGGGGCAAAAAAGAGCGTCCAGAAATCCTTTCGATAGGCCCTCACTAGTAGAATCATGAGGTTCTTAACTGTATCCGTTATACCTTTTGAAAACGAACCTAGTTAAGTTAGCACAGCAATCAATTATAGAGCTCCAATATTGATCGTAAGACTCAAACCACACTAGTTGGTTCTACAAACATATTATACACTTACGTAGCTCAATTGAGGTCTTTTTTAGAGGTTGGTCCAAGGTTACATGAAGAAGGTGACTGACGTTACTTGAAACCATAAAAATAGGGAGAATTTTTTGGTACTAAAAACACATTTTGGTATCTTATCTCCAAGTACAACCTTTTAAGAATTCATGTACAATTTTTTTCGTGTTTATTTATATTTTTTTTTTTTTTTGAGATTTTAAAGATCAACCTTAAAAATTTAGTATTCATATTTTATTTATTAAAGATTAATCTCAAGTAACTTAAAAAGTTACAATTTTCAATCTCACAAAAATTATAACTTGAACTTCAAAAATTTTAACGTGACCCCCAAAAAGTTATGTTTTTTAAGGATCAATCTTATTATATTAAGATTAATCTTAATTGTTATTATTAAGATCAAACCCAAAGAACAATTTTTTTTTTTTTTAACCAACGCTATTATATTTTTTATTGATTAAATCTAAAAAATTACAAGAATTAAAAACAGAAACTGTTTTAACAGAAAAATAGAAAATTCTGTTACAAGTATCTCCCAGGAATTCTGTTATAAGTAACTGCCTTATAACAGAAATTTTGCTACAAAAAACAGTTACAAAACGCCAGACAAAACAGTTACAAAACTCCTGTGCAACTGCTGCATTTTCTAAGCTCAGATGACCACCAATTTGAGTCATTAAAGAGGTAAAGTACCTCTGATAACAACCCTTTTTAGTCTGGCAGTAGGCAGCAGATTCTGGTCTCTTAGCAACAGCAACCTTCCAGCAAGTGGTAATATCCCACATCCTGAAAAATCAGTAGATCTCCCATTTTGAACAGCAAAAGATGCTAAAAATTCAGCTATTGCATTAGCATCCCTGTAGATATGTTTAATCTGCACCTGCATAGCATCAAACAAACCCTAATCCGTTCTAGAACAACCTGCAATCTCCATGGTACCTCTGTCATCCCCAACACCATCTGAACAAGTATTTGTGAATCAGATTCAATGAGAATCTGATATCCTGCAAAACCATACTGCATAATCAAATTAAGTCCATCCAATAGAGCCAGACCCCCTGCTTTCATATTAGAACCCAGCCCAAAAAAATTGGCAGCAGCTAACATTCCATGCCCTTCGCAATCCCTCATCGCTATCCCTCCACCAGACAGACCAGTCCTTCCCTTAGAAGCCCCATCAACATTCAATTTCATTAATCCCTCAGGAGGAGGCTCCCACTTAATCCATTTCACCCTATTCTCCATGATAAACAATGAACCAATCTTCAAATCAATCAACAGTTCCTTTCCCATACCATCATCTGATCTTTTAGGCTTTATCAGAATAGCCTGTAGCCTCAAAGCACTGACCACTTGCAAATATATAGCATATGTATTCAAAGAAACCCCCTCAAACCTTCTCCTACATCTCTCTCTCCAACTGGCCCAAAAAATCAACAAGGCCACACCTCTAACCAGTCCATGACTCAAAGTCTGAGCCTTGAAACTTCTTACCAATCTCAAAAATCTGCACATAGGTGATTCTCCATCTAGCACCTCAAAACCCATAATTGTAGCCACTCTCTCCCAGACAGCTTAAGAAAAATGGCATCCAATGAACAAATGAGAGGAATTTTCCTCATTTAGTATACACATATGACACCTGCTTGCCATTAAAACACCCACACTCTGGACTCTTGAATCCAGAGACAAAGCATTCCTATAAATTTTCCACCCACAATATTGAGCACTAGGAAAAATTTTCTGTCCCCATATAAACTTAGCAATCACACTCTCCTATCAGCCTAATCTGATACTACAACCCCAGAATTCAATATCTCAGACTGCAGCTGAGGAGTAAGTAATTCTTTTTAAGGTTTGTCTATTAATCAGACATATGGTCTATTTAGAGTTGACTTTTTTAGGTAAGAAATTGTGGTTTGAAATTTTTTGCAAAAAAGTCAAAGTTAAAAAAATTCCTCAAAATCGTTTGGAGTATTTTTTACAAAGTTGAAAAAATCCATTTTAAGTGACTTTATAGTAAGGATGTCAACTCAAATTCGTTGATACGAACACGACATGAATGATTATAAAATTAATATAATTATTAAATACGTATAATAAATAGTTTAAACTAATGTTTAATACTCAAAACACACTAAATAGAACTTTTTTTTGTGAGTCTTGATACGAACACGACACGCTGGTCACACGAACACGACACGTTTGACACCTCTATTTTATAGTTTTTTTGTTAAAATAAAAAAATATTATATATATGTATAGATTATGCATAATAGTTCCCAAAATATGAATTTTAAATTTTTTTATGTCGCTAAAAATATTTTATGAATATAATAAATTTAAAAGTTATGTGAGACCCACGACTGAACTCCAAAAAATCAAAAAAAAAAAACCTCATAAAAACAACTTCTTAAATCAGTCTAAATAAACTATTTTAGGTCCAAAAAACTATTGCCTAAACTTGGTCAAAAAAACCAAAGTTCAAACGGATCTGATTTGTTTTATTCTAAAGGCTACAAAATTAACCTATTTCAACAAGCTCCAAACAAACTCATAGTCCCTTCTACACAAAAAAATAACCATAACCTTTTGTCAGAAGAGCAATGCTATTAAAATCTAATTTGGACATAATTTAATATAATCATTAGATTAGTTATGAGTTATAATATTAAATGAAATTCACTTTTAATCCAACAGTTCAGTTAAGTAAGTTCTCAAATTAGATCCAAATAATATTTTTCTTGCTAGAAACAAGTAAGCAAGTGGACTCCTTTAGTAATTACCAAGTTCATGTAAGAAAATAATCTACGTGGTTACAAAAATGGAGTGTACTTTGTCCATTTTCAAGTTTGTTATTATTATTTTCTTTTTACTTTTTTGGTTCAACAATCAAGGATAATTAAGTTAATTTAAGCGCGCATCTCGAATAATATTTTTCCCAACCTGATCAAAGTTAGGCCATAAACCAATTAAGTTATATTAATTCTAGGGTCTCTCTCATTAAATGACGGATTTATCCTAGTAACTCACAAATTTTACAAAATCAAGGTATAATTAAACGAAAATAAAGATGGACCATAGTCCATAAAGCCCATGTAGATTGAGCCCGAAGGTATCGCCGATCGAAGTTAAACGAGAACAGTAGAATATAGGAGAACTCTTTCTTTTCGTCGTCTCTGCATTATTCTGGAGCTAAGTATCTAAGAAGATCCCAGATTATCCCACATTTATCTCTTTCCTGCTATATATAGCTTGCTCATCCCTATCCTTTTCATCAACAACATCCAAATCCATCCATGGCGCTAATACCAAGCTTCTTCGGTGGCCGACGAAGCACCATCTTCGACCCATTTTCTCTAGACATTTGGGACCCCTTCGAGGGTCTCTCTTCCTCTGGCACTCGCGACGTCTCTGCCTTGGCGAACATTCGTGTGGACTGGAGAGAGACTCCGGAGGCTCACATCATTCAGGCTGATCTTCCAGGACTCAGGAAAGAGGAAGTGAAGGTCGAGATCGAAGATGGGCGAGTTCTAAAAATCAGTGGAGAGAAAGTGAGAGAAGAAGAAGAGAAGGCCGACACGTGGCACCGAGTTGAGAGGACCGTTGGCAAGTTTGTTCGACGGTTCAGGTTGCCGGAGAATGCAAAGCTTGATGAAGTTAAGGCTACCATGGAGAATGGTGTGCTTACTGTGATCGTGCCAAAAGAACAAGAGAGGCAGCCTGAGACCAAGTCCATTGAGGTCACTGGTTAAAAGTCTCTTTGGTCTCACTCACCTGTGAAAGTCTGTTATATCAACGTAACAACGTTATTAGATGTTTTAAGTTCTTCAAGGTCGATGTTGATAGGAAATGCAGTGTATATAAATGTTCAAGGGTTTTTGGTTTGGGAGATTGTGTTGTAAATTATGGTGTGTTGCATATTATGTTTAATAAGTGCACCTAACAAGATCTTGTGTGTAATATAAGCTGGTGGTTTTGTGCTACTGGAAACATTCATGGTAGTAGTCAAACTGTAAACTTCTTTCCAAAAACTCCAATGCAACTGATGCAGATGTTCAACCAGCCGCTGTCAGCTCTCAACTTTAATGTCTCTAAGAAAAAATCTGGTGATCAAGGAAGAAAACAACCCCCACATAATGTCTAGAGACGAAAGGGCACAACCATCAAATCATCTTTTGAATTTGATAATTCATCAACAATTCAATAAAAGATGAGTTTTTATTTTATTTTCTTGTTATTTGTCTACAACTGCTGATCAACCCATATGTAATCCATAAGTAATTTCCACCTCTTTAGCTGCCAAGGGGACTTTGCTCAATGAAAGAACTCTGTTCTTTCTTATCCAAGATTTCTTCAGAAAGCAGTATTGGTTTCATTTGTTAAACAGTTATGCCTATACACTCTGATTCAACCTTCCACAATAATGAAGTTCAATATTGGTAAAAATCATTTCACATCATCCCCATATTATATGGAGTTTTTTTTTCATTGTATTGTTCGGTAAATGGACCAAACTTTTGGTAATTAGAGATGATGATGATAAGAAAGGAGACAGTTTCAGAGGATTGAACATTTGGTTTGTGAATTTTGAAGATTCTAGAATATCGAAGTTTGTCAAGAAGATACCAGGAGATATGAATTCGAACAAGGTGATTAGTAA